CAGCTGAGCAAGAGCGAGACCCGTCTCTACTATAAAATAGAAAGAAATTTAATTGGCCACTGATATATATATAAAAATTAGCCGGGCATGGTGGCGCATGCCTGTAGTCCAGCTACTCGGGAGGTGAGGCAGAAAGGATCACTCGAGCCCAGGAGTTGAGGTTGCTGTGAGCTAGGCTGACGCACGGCACTCACTCTAGCCTGTGCAACAGTGAGACTCTGTCTCAAAAAAAAAAAAAAAAAATATATATATAGATTTCTTGGATTTTTTCATGTAGATGATTAAATTATCTATGAATAAAGACAGTTTGACTTTCTCGTTTTAATCTGCCTGCCTTTTTACAATTTTTCTTGCCTCACTCTACTGGCTAGATCCTCCACCACAACACTGAATAGAAGCTGTAAGGGTAAACATCTTTCTTTCCTGTATTGGAGGGGAAAAACATTTTCCATTGGTGTGATGTGGGCTGATGGTTTTTCACAGATGCTCATTTTCAGGTTGAGGAAGTACATTCTACTCATATTTTTGCTGGGAGTTTTTAGTTATAAATAGGTATTGCATTTTTTGAATATTCTTTTAAATCAACTATGAGATGATCATATTATTTCTGTTTTAGTTGGTAAAATGGTGGATTACATTGATTTTTGAATTTTAAACAAAAACTTCATGTTCCTAGGATAAACCCTACTTTGGTATGGTCAAATGGAGATATGGTAGATTCAATTAGCTGAGGATTTTTTTATGTTATATTTATGAGGGATATTAGTCTGTGGTTTCTTTTCCTGTAATACCTTTGGTTTTGATTTCAAGATAATGCTGGCTCATAAAATGTGTTGGGATGTGTTCCTTCTTCTACTTTCTGGAAAAATTTGTATAGAATTGTTCTTATCTTCCATAAATGTTAGGTGGAATTCTCAAGTGATACTGTTGTGGCCTGGAGTTTTTTTGGTTTTTTTTTGTGGAAGACTCTAACTATAAATTCAATTTCTTTAATAATATAGTGCTATTTGGTTATTTCTTCTTGAATGAACTTTAATAGTTTCTATCTTTCAAGGAACTTACATATTCCAAATCATCAAATATTATTAGTATTAACTCTTTATAATGTTCTCCTATTATCCATTTTATGTATGTAAGATCTATGTGTGGGGTGTGCCTGCTCTATTCCTGATACTTGAAGTCTGTTCTTTCTCTCATTTCTTGCCCTGATCAGACTTGCCAGAAGTCAACTTTTTGTTTTTTTGAAGACAGGGTCTTGCACTAACTATATCAATAGGAATATCCTCGTTGTGACATTGTAGTATATAGTTTTGGTAGTTGTTACCATCAGGAGAACTGAGTAAAGGTACATAGGATTATTTCCTTTCTCTCACTTTTTTTTTTTTTTTTTTTTTTGAGACAGAGTCTGACTCTGTTACCATAGTGCAGTGTCATCATCATAGCTCACTGCAACCTCAAATTCTTGGGCTCAAGTGATCCTTGTGCCTCAGCCTCCTGAGTAGCTGGGACTATAGGCATGTGCCACCATGCCCAGCTAAATTTTCTATTTTTGTAGAGTTGGGGTCTCTCTCTTGCTCAGGCTGGCCTCAACCTCCTGACCTCAAGCAGTCCTCCTGCCTTGGCCTCCCAAGGTGCTAGGATTACAGGTGTGAGCCACTGCACCTGGCCCAGAATCCTCTTTGTCTTTCACTTTTGACAATTTGATTGTATGACTTAATGTAGTCTTATTTGGGTTGAATCTGATTGAAGACTTTTGATCTTCCTGTACCTGGACATGTATACCTTTCCTCAGAATTAGAAAGTATTCCATTATTATTTCTTTAAGCTTTATACCCTCTTGTCTCTCTCTTCTTGAACTCCTATGCCTCAAAAATTTGCTCTTTTGATGCTGTCCCATAAATCCCTTCTTTGTTCCTGTTCATTCTTTTTTCTGATCTGACTGTATGTTTTCAAATAATCTGTCTTCAAGTTCACAGGTTCATTCTTCTGCTTGATCAGTTCTGCTATTGATGCGCTCTATTATATTTTTCATTTCATTGATTATATTTTTAACTCAAGAATTTCTGTTTTTTATATAATTTCAATCTCTGCTGAATTTCTCATTTATTGTTTTCCTGATTTCAGTGAATTATTTCTCTGTATTTTCTTTACATTTATTGAGCTTCCTTAAAAATGATTATTTTGCATTCTTTTTCAGGAGGTTCATTTGTCTCCATTTCTTTAGGGTATGTTACTGGTAATTTTTGTTCCTTTAGTGGCATCATGCTTCCCTGATTGTTGATCTTCATGGCTGTGCATTGGTGTCTGCACATTTGAAGAAGCAGGAACTTACAATGGTCTTTGCAGATGGCTTTGTCTGGGAAAGCCATCCACCAGTCAGCCAATCCACAGATTCTGGGCAGGCCAATTGGCATGGTCTGCAGGCAGTCTTGCTGCTGGAGTCTTTAGGCAGGCTAGCCTGGTGCTAAGTCCATGGGGTTGGGCCTGAAGCCTGGATCTACTGGGATAGACCTGTTGATTGCATCCTTGAGGGCAGACCTGGAGCATAAGTCCCTGAGGGTAGGCCTGGAACCTTTATCTGGAGGGAGGGGCTGGCCTGGGGCTAGATGGGCCTTGAGCTTGAGTCTGCAGAAGCCAAGTAGGCATTAAGATGGTCATGGTGCCTGGGTCCACTGAGACAAGGCTGGACCCTGAGTCCACAGGAACTGGCTTGGTGCTGGGGCAGGCCTGGAGCCTGAGTCTGCATGGGTGGGCTTGGGTCCTGGGGCCGTGGGTCCCAACCTGGAACCCAGGTTCACAGGAGCGGTCCTAGAGCCTAGAGCTATTGGGACTGGCCCAACACTAGGGTCTATTAGGATAACCTGGACACAGGGTTTGTTGGATTATAGGGGTACCTGGGCCAGTCTGAAGGATGGAGGTCTCAGAGACCAGCTAGCAGGCCTGGAGCCTATGTCCATGGGTGCTGGCCTGGTGCCTGAAGCTACTAGGGATGCCATCCTGGTTTTGGGGTAGCTCTGGAGCCTAGGGCCACAGTTGCTAGCATGGCACTGGGTGGGCAAAAAATCTGTTTCTGCAGGGCGGCCAACCTTGAGGCTGGGGCTGCAGGTGCAAGCATGATGACTAGGATTTTGGGGTGGGCCTGGAGCCTGAATCTGTGTGGCCTTTCCTCTTAAACTAAAGCAGATAGTCATGAAAATCCAAAGGTAAGCTTTGTTCTTGGTGTGGGGAGAAGACAAGGACATGCCAACAAATGAACTTCTCTTAAGCATTTAGTGGTCAGCATCTAACCAGTAAGGGGCTTCCTAGTCCCTGTCCCTGAACAAGTAGCATGTGGAGCCCCTGGGTAGCTAAGCTCCATTTTACTTAGTGGTCTGTCCACAGTGAGTTAAGCCTCAGAATAAAGACTGCATTGGCAAGATTCTTAATATACTGTTGTCAGTGCTGGTGAGGGTGTGATAAGATGGACAGTTTTTATATCACTGGTAGGATTGAAAATTTATACTACTCTTCTAGAAAGTAATTTGGCAGAGTATAAAAAAGGCTTTTAAAATGTCCATTCCCTTTGGTCTAGTTTTCATATTTATAGAAATCTATCTTAAAGAATTAAGGAAGTGGACATGGATTTACATTCAGAGATCTTAACTGCTATATTACTTATAATAGTGGAAAATTGGAAAGAATCTAAATGTCTTATAGAAGAATGATAAATCATGTCAATTATGTAGCTATATGATGATATTTTTTCAGCCAACTTTCAAATGCTTAATGACATGGAGAAATGCTCAGGATATAATGTTGAATGAGAAAAATCAGGGTACAACATTTTAGGTACAATATGGTCCTCCTTTATTTAAAAAAGGGGGGAAATATATGTTTATATTAATATGTGGTAAAAAGACGAAGTAAATACAGCAAATTATTACCAGTGGTGGATTGTGGGTGATTTGTGTTTTGTTTTTTAAACCTGTCTGTATTTTTTCAAATTTTCTACAATGAGTCTGTATGACTTTTATAGTCAGAAAAAAAACAGTAAATGTAGAAATGTCTCTGCACACCCTATACTGCACCAGAAAAGACCGCTATTTTTCACAATTTGTAGGCAAAAAGTGGTTTACGTTAGGGTTGAATTTGCCAATTATCATAATGTGCAAATGGGTTCTGAATCCTCCAGCTTTTTGCATTGTGTCATGAGCACGCCGGCCGCTGTTGCCAGCACTGGCATGTGAGCTCAGCACGGCCCATCTGCTGCTCGGGCTTGCTTGGCTGACACAGATTTATTTCATTTAGTTCCTTAATTTGGCAACATTTTCTCTTTTCTCATTATCATAGCTAGGATTCAGTACCAGTGTTACTCATTTTGTTTACCAGTTTGTTGTTTTCTTTTGTTCCATTTTGTGAAGATGAAGAAGCCAACAATGGGAATTCTGTCTTCTGAAAATGCAATGCTTGTCCTTCGGGATCTTGGGCATGTCTTGCTAAAGTGCTATTTCTGACACTCGCAAGCCATTTCAATTGTTTTGATAAATAGAAAGCTTCATGGTGTATTTTTCAAAGAGCTTAGCATTTCTTTCCTCTCCTCCCCTGCCCCAAGGAAGATTTGGAAATGGTTCCAAATAGAAATTATAAACATTAGCCTTGAGCTGTGCTTTCTCCATCTGGTATTTGGTGCATTTTTTAAAACTGAAGGCTCATGTTGTTTGTTTAATCTTCATCAGCACTGCAGAAGCACGTGGTATGAGACTTAACTCTGCCAGAGCACCCTACACTTAAGAAGGGATTTTCCTCTGAATTGGTTTGCATTTCAAAGAGCATTGGGATAGTCAGCCAGATTGCTAAGAATTTGCTCAAGTGAAACTTTATAACTATTGGAATCGTCTTAGAGATTTCTTGAATGTATTTGCTAGGATAGGATGGCTGCTGCCTCAGAATCCTCTTTGAGCCTGACACTCTTATTTTTTGAAGAGACATTCTTTGTAAGACTGTGCTACTTTTCTCTCTAGGTTACCCCGAAGAAACTTATCCAATTTATGACCTTTCAGACTGTATCAAGCATAGGCAAGAAACCATCTTGGTGGATTACCCTGACCCAAGCGAGCCTTCTGCTGAAGAAATAGCTGAAAGAATGGGAGTGATAGAAGAGGAAGAATCCGACCATTTGGGTTGGCAAAGTCTGCCCACTGACACCAGAGCCCAGGAAGATAATTCTGTTACCTTATGTGACCCAAAGCCAGAAACAGGTTCCTGCTGTTTTCATGAAGAAGAGGATCCCGCTGTCTTGGCAGAGAATGCTGGATTTAATGCAGATAGCCACGAGCAAGAGGAAACCACCAAAGAAGAGTGGCCCCAAGACTTTAGAGTTGAAGGGTTGGGCCTCAATGTTGATCAAGTATATACAGGTAGCATGTTGAGGAAGCGTAACCCCCAGGGTTTAGAGTGAAAACAGCCAGTCTTGTGAAGTATTCATTACTCTAGTCCCAAGGTAACCCTTCTCTCCTCAGATTTCCTCCTTGGCCCTGTACTACTTTGTGTTCAAATGTCATAGCTATCAGGCCAACACCATGGATATGATGTACCTTTCCTGGTACTCACACACCTGTCACCATGTAACACATGGACAATAGTGTGAACACATGACAGCTTCGCTCTTTCTCTTTTTGCTTTCCCCCATCCGAGAAGTTGATCCATTTGAATAATTATGTTTGGTCTGTAGCAATTTCAGGTGGGACCACTCAGGGCAAAGGTCTGACTCTTCCTGCTAGGTGAACAGATGGTTTACCTGTGAATGAACTCAGCTTACAGATGATGACGACTTAAGGTTGCAAGAGTGAAGATTTCAGATGCCAAGATGCCTTATTCTTTGGGCCTTGAGCAGGTTAGTGGTCCCTGGTGGGAGAAGTGGACATTTTATTTGTGGGGATGAAGGGCCCAGAGTAGGTGTAAGACTATGCTGTCTGAACTAAAGCCCTTCCTCCTAGTGAGGGTCTTCCGAGGAGCACTGATGCTATCTCTGACATCCTTTCTCCAGAGTAGTGAAGATTCCCATTAACCTGAGAATGAGTCCAGAGGCCTGTTTGGGGACTATTTTGCTCTGATTGCCTAGATCTCTAGCTTTCTTTATCCTTGTTCTGGTTAACAGAACTGCCAAACCCAGAAGTACCTTTGCATCTCTGGTTTTTAGTGGCCAGAGGAAGCTTTAGATAGAGACTTTAGTCCCTGCCCTGCAGAGCCAAAATTTGAAGCTGTTGGAACTGCAGACCTTCCCAAGGTTGTCCTGCCATGAGGAACTCAGAGGGCCAGGGAGCCAGCAATAGGGGAGAGGACCTATATACTTATGGGAAATTTGTTTTCACAACCACATGAATTGAAACAGAAATGACAACTGAGCTGGTATACAGTAGGGACGTTGCAGAATACATCTGTTGGAGAGAACCAATATATTAGTGCCCAGGAGAAAAGACCATATGTTCTTTATTCAGCTATTTGGGTCTTTTGAGAGAGCTGGAGAAAGTAGCGCATGTAGATTAGGACTGGGAGGATTTTGACCAAACTAAAGGCCTATTCTCCTAAATTGTCAGCTGTCATGCATCTTCTTAAGATGGTATCCATAATTCTCTCTAACATGAAGGGTGTGTGAATTCAGAGTTTACACATAAGACCTGAGAGTTTGAAGAGAGCACGTTCCCAAGGACATTCCCTGTCATGAAATGTTAAAAACTGAAAAATTAAGAAATTATGTAACGGTAGATAAGGCTTTTAGAGTTCCATTGTGTGTGGCATGAGTAAGATGCCAAGAAAATAGTTAAAATCACACATATAAGCATACAGATTGCTGTACAGATCATATTAAGATAATCTGTTAGCCACTACTATGCATTTGGTTAATTGAACTACAGAGAAAAGTCATTGAAGATCGAGTCTATAGAAAGTATATCTCTGTGTAGAACATTTGATTTACATTGTAAAGAATGCAGTTTAAAATGTACTGAAGACAAACTAGATACAATGTACACTAAAGGTAAAAAATAACATAGGTGCTCTTTATTGTTTTCATACATTGTTTTCTGTGTTATTTCCCTTCATTCACCATGAGGGATTGATTTATGAGGAAAGCCCTGGGTTTCTGTTTCAATTTTCTTTCTTTTCCCTTATTAGAGATAAGTACTTCTGTTGCCATCTTGTGTATTTGTTCGTTTATTCATTTAGCAGACAGCTACTAAGTGCTAGGCACTAGGAACAGAAGGTTCAATTTCTACTCTCAAAAAACTCAATTTAACATGGGAGCCTGACAGATTAATGAACCATGAACTATAAGAGAGCTCAAGATTGTAAATTCTGCTGGCAGAGAAATGTAGGTCATGCTCTGTCCCTGTGTATTTGTAGCTTTTGAATCTTGGGTCAGCTTCTTAACTGGTCTGAGCCTTGGCTTCCTCAACTGTAAAGTATAGATAACGAAAGTCCAGGTCTCATAGGGTTGTTGTAAGGATTAAATAAGTACAGGTGAAACAGCATTGGTTCTAGCACATGATAACCACTCATTAAGTGGTAGCTGTTTTACTTTTGTTATACAAGGATCTATCCTGTAATTGAGATGTGGACCCAAAACTACAGGAGCATGAAGGAAGGAGATTATTCTTGTCAGAGTACTTCCAAGAAACTTCACAAAAGTGGTAGCCTTGAGGCATGCTAAGAACTTCTCTGGCTAGAGAAGTTGGCAGTAAGAGTAGGGATGGAAAAAGCAGTGGGGTGTGAAAGTACATAGATGTTCAAGTGTTTTGATGAGGCTGGTATGTAAAGTGTTTCATAACCACTCTGTTTTGAATGTTAGTCTTTGGAAAAAGTTGACATATGGCAATAGTTCCTGCTAGAAGTACTAAGCTCTTCTTGCTCTAGCTCTTGGTTGGATTGTATATCAGGAATATAGATATATTTTTATATATCAGGAATTTTGATATACATTTCAATCATTTAGGATTTAGACAGTCCTTTTTGGATTTTCTAAAATGATTTTATCTTTCAGGGATGACAGTTGTACATATAACCCAGGGTGACCAAAATGAACTGGTTTTTGTTGCCATGGGTATTCTTTCTTGTGGTCTTCATTTCTCAGAACTAAGGCGCTGTGAACTTGATCAGTCCCTTGATCTTTGGGCACTGTGGCAGAGTACACAGAAGGACAGCTGGCTTAGGAAATAACTGCATCATTTGGGACCATGCTTGGTAAATCAGGTGGATGATCTAGCCAGGAGATCCCCTTTCCTGGTCACAAAAGGAGGGCATCTCATTTTAGTTCTATGACTAATGGCGTGTGAACTGCAGAAGCTAGGCCCAGGGCGGTGTGCTGAGGAGCAGAGACATGTTTGTCCTGTAAAAGCAATGGCTTGTGAGAACTATACACACTGTGCCTTCTATGGCTTGGGTGATCAAATAAGGTCCAAACTTGAACACTTTGGAAAAAGGGAGACTTAATTATGCCAAGATAATAGGCAAAAACTACCCTGGACATATGGTCACCCTGCCATGGCCATTTACAATTTTCCTTCAACCTGATGACTAAACAAACAAAACCCTTTTTCCTTTTTAGAATATCCTGCACATGCTATTTCCCATGGAGGCTACAAGAGGTAGGCCTTGGTTCAGGTAAGAAATGTTCTTGGTCACATCAGAACTCTAGATCTGGGGCAGACCCTCCTAATTAGACTGTTCATATACCAAAGAAAAATTTAGTATTTCAGCTATTGAGCAATATTGAGAAAAAAACATGAATGACACATCTATGACTTTGCCTTAACCACTAACCTTTCTAAAATGCACTTTTTCTCCATTTTTTATACAAATAGGACAAATTTCTCCTCAGAGTACCAGTTTCCTCATTTATACCTGCCTTACAGGGGTGTTAGAATTAAGATACTGTTTATAAAGTGTCTATCCCAGGGGGTGAAGCACAGGAAGTGTGCTTGGTGACAGTGTCATCAGCAGCACCATCACTTTGTCATCAAAATGTCATCCTGTGCTACTGGTTATCACACTTGACACCCTCTAAGGTTACTCTGCAAAATAGCCCTGGGCCATTCCTGGTAGTCTCTGGGTGACTTGACTTGTAACCTCTTCCCTCTGGATTGGACCATTAGCTTTCATGTCCTCTTCCAACTGCAGCCTCCCTTCCTCTTGGCTTCAGATCTGCCACAGGCTGAAAAAAAGATTCTCAAGCATGTTTAAGTCCTTAAATCAAGGCCCAAGGAATCAAGTGGCTGAGTCTTCGTGTTTTATCTGCCAGTTGAGTCTTTTCCACCTTTTTTAGCTCTACAGTGCTTTTCTGTTCCTAAAAGCCAGGTCCACATGGAGATACTTCACCACCTACCCACCTGAGGCTCCTAGGAAACGTAGAAAAAAAACTTTTGGGAAAGAGACATGGTTTTGTCTTGTTATGAAAAAAGTACACAGAAGCGTTGAAACAATTCAAGTTTAATTTGTTGAGATATGCCGTACTTAGACAAACACTAAATTCTACAACATACATAATGTCAACATGGGAAAATACCATTTGTCATTGCACATACCAATAAATAAATACATTTGCTCCAGAATACCAAAGAGTTATTCAAAAAGTCACTTAATAAAAGCACAGTTTTGCAAATTTGTCTAAAACTCCAGATAATTTTGAACAAAAATAAAATGTCTGACCACTCCAAAATAGGAAAAGACAATCTTGTGCAAATAGACATACACATTCTAGGCATTATGAAAAGTGGCTAAATGTGTGTGTTCCCAGCAAGAGAAACGTCACCCATCCTGACCAAGTCCCCTTTGTTGCCAAATGCAGGATTAAAGAGGCCAGAGTTGGGCTTCCCTTTCTAAGTCACCCTCTAGGAAACTCTGGATCTCAGCCTCATCTCCAACTCTGCCTGGACCTTAAGAGGGGAGGGAGGGACAAGAGCACAGAGGAGGAGAGGGCTGTGATGTCTTTCTTAGGAAAGAAAAAAGGCACAGTGATGAGCTAGAAAAGGTAGTGATGAAAGAAAGGATTAACTTTCATTCACCCGAATCCTATAGCAAGCTTTGACAAGCCAACATCTTCATCTTGCAGTCAAGAAAACAGACCTGAAGCTGTTACATGTTTTGTTCAAAATCACAAGCTACTAAGTACAGTAGTGCTTTCTGTAAGACCAACTTGCTTCTTCACTTGGTTGGAAAATTTAAAAACCAAACCTGTCCCCATACTTCTGCCCCTACCCCCATATCCTGAGGTGACAGATAATTGCAAACTAGAGGCACATAAGGACAGGTTACCATAAACACAAACAGGAGCCCATCCGTTGGCCTGTTCCTGGGGGCTACAACAGGCCTACAAGACAAGGCCCAGGGCAGTGTAGAGTCCCAGTTCTGGGCCCTGACTGCAGGACAGTCCGGCCCCAGTCACAGGGCACTGCAAGAAAGCAGACTCACTCAGCTATCTGGAAAAGTATGTGCTGGGGGCCACCTGGCATCCTGAAGTCACACAGGGATATTACCGCTTGGGCAAGAAATTAGAAGAGAAGGCCAATGTTACAGCAGTAAGGGAACACCCAGAAGCCCATCTAGGAAATGGAATTTGTGCTTGCATAACAGAGCCACAGACACAGCTATCCTAGCATCTCCCCTCACTGCAGGCTCCATTGTGAGCAAAGCATAGACATTTCCATTTAACCCCTCTTGCTTGTTAAATTCAGAACTTTAGAGATAAATGCCCTGCTATTTTCAGAATCAAGAAAAACTTCTGTTTTGTTACCGTGTTTGTCATTGAAGGAGGCAAGCTCCACAACTTCTCTCCTAGCCTGTGATTATCACAATCCCTGGCTTCTAACACCTGTCCTCATCTTGGGTCTGGACCTTACATGTCCTCTGAACTAGTGTCGTGATTTTTAAGGCACATTCACTAGAATACGTTCAAATTCATTCAAAAGCATACATGCAACATACCAATTTCTTCAGGGAATGCAGAGTGGCAAGCGAAAAACTTAACTTTCTTAGATGGTGTCCTCTTGCTCAGAACCCTGGGAGAAAGAGCTGGTCATTTCCCAGGTATACTTCTGTTCCAAAAGCATGAAATGAATGGACAAAATCCACAAGTGATCGTGACTACATCCTTATTCCTTTCCTACTCATCCTTAGAATTATGATCATTAGAAACCTCAGTTCATTATTTGCTGATTGCCCTTTTCCCCAAATACACAGACACGCAGACAGACACAGACGGACACAGAGCACCTTGGAGCCAGAAGGAAAGAAAAAGCTAGACTTGGAGAAGAGTAGGGGAAATGAACTTCACCGCTCTGCAAAAGAACTGTTTTGGTGCAGAGGGTGTAGAGTTGGTTTGGGGTATGGCCCCAGAAGGAGTCACAGACCCAGGAGCAGTAACAGAAAAGCTGCCTAAGACCCCAGCTGTCCAACACCCTTAGGGCTTGCTCATTCCATCTTCAATACACCTGCCCAATCAAGGACTATCTGGACAGTGTGTGCAACAGGCAATAACTCTTACTGTGGGAGAGGCTAAACCCAGGTGGTCTCCAGGGGCCCTGGCAGCTTTATGAGTTCTTGGGCCCATGGCCGGGGCCAGCAGTCATGAAAAACCAGCATCACCAGGAGTGCAGTCTTAAGAGCAGACCTCGGAAGGCTGGGTCTCAAACAGTTGATTCAGCTGCTCTTGCTTGTCATTCAATGCCCAGCAGAGGTTTTGGCTGCTGAGATTACCCTTCTCTGTACCCAGGCTAGAAAGCTCAGCTCACATTTCCTGACCCTACCAAAATATCCACCCAACTCCTCCTCTATACTAAAGGAGAAAAGACACAGAGTTTTCCATTGTGCTTCTGATTTTTCTACTCTGCCTCCAGGGTCTCCCCTCTCACTAGAATCCAGAACCAGCTTGTTCTACATTAAAATCATAGACCCAGAGAATTAGCTTGACCAGACTTTAGAGATCATCCAGTTTCCATCTCAAATGTCACCATGCTGTTCTCATCTCAAAGTCATGGAAGGAGGGGCTAAACTAGAGCTGTAGAAATGAGGATGGCACCACAATATTTCACCAGCCCTGGCACAGAAAATTCCAGTGCCCTGTAGAAACTAGAACATGTTAACAAACGCTAGTCACTGGAGGGGCCTCTCTTGGATGTACGGCTGAGGTGTGGGCAGATCCTGCTAGAACAGGTATACCTTGCTTTAAGCATTCAATATAGGAAAACCTAGATTGAAAAAAAAAAAAGCATACTACTTCCACTTAAGTCAAAACAACTCTTTCACCTGTAGAGCATCACTATCATGTTTAAAGTATGACCTTCATTTTTTGAAAAAATTAGTTTCTACTTAGCCTTTCCAGGCATGTCTACTCTAAAGCAAGGTACAAGCCCTGTGTGCTTTCCACTGATTTCAGCTCTCCATCTGGGCAAGAAGCCTCTGCCGGGGTAAATGACAAATGAGCAAGAGCTTGAGCATAGAGTTCCCAAGCCCGAAAGGAGGACAGTGCTGTCCAAAGAGAAGTAGCAGTGGCAGTGGAAGGAGTGATCAGGCCCAGCCCCAGAACATTCACACTTGCTGTATCACGCCCAGCCAGAGAAATGTGCAAGAGCTTCCTTGCGGAGGGGCCAGGTATGGCCAAACCTGATCAGACTAAGGTGCAAAAACCCAGACACTTTTCAACAGGGAACTGCCTGGTTTCCTTCTGGAATGGTTTCACTCTTATACATCAACTCAGACGTCTCTAAGTCTCTAGAACGGGAGGAAGTGGGGAGGGCATGCAGAATGGGCTTGAGAAGACCAGAGAACCAAAGATACTAGTTTCTTGGGGGACAGTGGGAACAAAGAAATCAGTGGAATTTGAGGTTCTGAACTCTGCCACTAACCAGCTAGGTGACCTAGGGCAAGTCCCATTTTCTGAGTGTGATTTACCTAATGCAATGAGGTTGTACCAGTTGATCCCTAAGGGTCCTGTCACCTCTGATCTCTTGTGGTTCTAAAATATCTGCTCTTCTCACTTTGTCCCATTCCCTCCCAAGAAGAATCACACACAGAAGCCCTAACCAACCACAATTTGGCTAACAGCAGTGGGAGCTGGGTCTTTTGGAGAGATTCTTCCTGGAGCACACCATGGTTTGGGAATGGTGCTTTGCCAGCAAGAACGCCAGTCCTGCCTAGCTGTGTGCAGTCGGGCTGGTGAACTGGACCCCGTCTACATTTTCTGGGGGTTGTGCTGGGGCTGCTCAGCAGAGAGCTCCTGGGGCAGTTGACAGGGCTACCAGGACAACCCTGATCCAGGGAGCCTGTTCTTGCACTTTTCTACATGCTGAGCCTGTGTCCGGCAGGCCTCATTCACTAAGACATTTGGCCTTGAGAGCACAGAGAAAACCTGGAGAAATCAAATTAGCTAGAACCGTAGGCCACCAGCTGATTCCCACAGCCACAGATAGCCAGGCCCTGCAATCCTGGCAAAGTCCTGCCACTCACCTGTCCATACCACCCTCCTAACTTCTCTCAGGCCTAGCTGGGGCCTTCTGAAGTTGGAGGGTTGTCTGCAGCTTTAAGGGCCAGGTTTAGCCACCAAGCCTTTTGCTATGTAAAGTTGATGTGCCCTTTGCACACACACATTCACTGTGCCCCTACCTGTTGGGGTACCCGTCGTCATCTGATTCCTGGGCTGAGAGGCTGGCCGGGCCCTGGCAGCCCTGCATTGTGCTTCCTTTCCTGCCACACCTCTTTCGGCCTTCCCAGCTGAAGAAGTTGCTCAGCTTGGCAAACGCGACTGCAGCCCAGTACTAACCCAAGAGTGGGGGGTGTGTTGATCTTGGGGCACAGAAAGAATTACTTTCGTCCCTTCACACCCACCCACCCACACCCTGCTGCTCCCCTGCCTCGGCAGCAGAGGCAGAGGAGTCAGTTCCTGGCTGGCTGGGCCAAGGAGCCCACTAAGGGCCAAAGCTTCATCTGGCAGAAGGCCTATGTACAGAGGGTAGGCAGGGCTGTCTCCACAGGCAGGCAGGCAGGCAAGCTCCGCTCCAGGCTGGGCAACCCCAGAGGGCTCAAGGTGGCCTCTACTCGCAGGCCAGCTTGCTGTCAAAGCTGGACAGGGCAATGGCAAAGGCCTGCAGCGCACACAGTGGGTAGTTGTAATCCATGGTGAACACGTCCTCTGCTACCCGGCCAAACTGCATCACGATGTAGTCCGCTGGGGCCAGGCACAGGCATGGACAGAGAGAAACAAAAGGACAGAGCAGGAATGGTGGAGACAAGGAAGAACAGACAGACACCCAAACCACAAGAGGGAAGAAAGAGCAAGAAGCAGAGATGCCAAGGGAATTCCGAAGGAGGTAAAACAAACGTCAGTTGGGAAAAGTGGCAGGAGAGAGCCAGCAGATGACAGAGGAGAAAGTGAGATGCATACAAACACCAGGAGACAGAGAAAAGAAGGAAAAATTCATTTAAAGGCTGTTCCCATGCCTGAGACTCTGCTGAGTACATAGAATCTAGGGCCAGGGCTCTAAAGAAGGTTCTTCCAAGGCCTCCCAGTCATTATGGTTAGAAAGATCTTTACATTTAATCTAAGCCATACAGCTCATATCCTTAGACTCTGGCCAGTGTGGGCAGGGCTAGGTGAGCTGAACCCTAAGCTAAGGGCCCCAGGTATCATGTGGACAGTAATGAGTAGGGGCAAAAACAACTCACGGTCATTGCCATGGATGATCTGGAAGTTCTTCACGGAGGCCTGCGTGACGCGCCCATGGAAGTTGAGTACGTAGGACTGCGTGTCGTCATTCCACACAGGTGTCTTGTTCTGTAGCTCGATTATACTCTCGGTGTTCTTATTCTGCCAGCGTGCTAGCAGTGTCTCATGCTCCTGGAAGGGCAGCCTCATCTGAGCCTGGCCCAGGCCTTGGCACCATGACCACCCCAAAGAGGGATCTGTCCCCAGAAATGGGGGTCCTTAGATTTCCCTACACCTCCATATAAACACACTAGCTGGAGTTTTGGCCTCAGCAGCTCACACATGGACTACACTGATGGGGAAGGGGAGAGGGAGAGGCAGAGACTCACGTTGTGGGGGCGGATAGACACTCTCTCGTGAACCATGTTCATGCCTGGGACAATCACGCTCATCTTCCGAGGCCCCTTAAAGCCTAAGACATTTGTCTCCTGGGAAACAGAGAGAAAACTCAGCTGAGGAGTCCACTTACCTACTGGAGGGAAAAGGGAAGGTGTCTACCATCTCCACCTCGAAGTCTAATAGGCATCTGTAAACTCCATATGTCCAGAATTGAACTCTGGAATCTCGACTTTGCCAAAACTAGTTCTTCCTGTAGCCTTCCTTGCTTCTGTTAAAAGCAACTCACTACTTCCATTTGTTCAAGGAAATTACTTAGAACCATACTTGACTCTTCTCTTTCATACGTTACTTATCCATCAGCAATTTCTGTCAGCTCTACTTTTGGATTACACCCAGAATTCCAGCACCTTTGCCGCCGCCATCTCTCCCTGGGAACACTGTAGCAGCCTTTAACTGGACTCCTTATTTCTGTCCTTGGTCGCCTGCCCCTCCTCCCATCATTTGTCCTCACCCAGCATCAAGTGGTCCTGTTGGGTCAGACTGTCTTCCCCTTCTGTTCAAAACCCCAATGGCTCCCCAGCTTGCTCGGGGTGAAAGGTGGAGATGCAACTCTCCCTGCCAGGCCTCACGTGGTAAGGCCCCACTGCCACTCTCTCCTCACCCCCTACCCTCTCATGCGCTCGTTCCTCCTTCGTGCCAGGCTCTGTGTCCCCCAGACATGTCCACGGCTGGCTTTCACTTCTTTCTGGACTTTACTCAAGAGCCACTTCTGTGAGGCCCTCCCTGCCATCCTCCCTACAGTCTCACACACGTTGACATTTCATATCCCCTCTGCCCTGCTTTTTCTTCTTAGCATTTATCAAGAACATACTTATTCACTTATGTATCTGTTTTATAGCTTGTCTATTATACTAGGGCCTTAAGTTCCATAAAGGTGTAACATGTTCACTACTACATTGTAGTGCCCAAACAGTACCTGGAAGATAGTTGGGCTCAGGAAGTAAAGACTCAGGCTGCCTTCCCCAAACTGACCAGCAGGTGGCACCATGGGATCATATAAAAGAGCTGTGGAGTCCCAATAGCCTCCAAGAAGTGCCAATGCCCAGGTTGATGGGACAATCATCCTTCATTTTAAAAATGAAGACACTGCTGTTCAAAGAGGTAGAGTAAGCCCATGTATTTAGATTCTATTTATGTTCAGTTATGAACTGCGTGACATTGGCAAGTGACCCAACTTCTGAGCTTCAGTTTCCTCATATATAAAGAAAATAGATCGGTTGAGCATTTGGTGAGATGATATGCAGAAGGCCTTGTAATCCACGTAGGACCTGGCACACAGGATGATTTGGAAATGCACAGAAGAGAACCTAAGCCTGCCTCCTGTCCAGGAGACTCCTGGGCTAGACTGCAGTTCCCAGAACTCCCCAGGCAGATGGCCAGCTGTGGTCTGAGCTCTGAAGACAGAAGGAAAGGGCCAGAGCCCCTGTCCCAATCAAGGGTCACTCCACCAAGGGCAGATCCTCTCCATACATCCTAGTCCACCCACCAAGATAGATGGGCTGGCCCCCAGTTCAGGGAGCAAGTCCCAGGTTTCATGTCTAACTCGGAGACCAGAGACTCAGGAACCCAGGACTCACGTAGCACACAGCTGCCAGCTCCTGGCGCAAGGTCCCACTTTCCACAGTAGAGGATGAGGCCTTCTGAGGGTTGACTCCATTGTCATAAACAGTGAACTTGGTGCCCATCAGGTTGGACCTGAAGGCAAGGCACAATCAGTACAGGGTCATGCACTGTCTGTCCTAGGGCAGGGAACAGCTCAGAGTCTGTCCTATGAGGTGCCTGCAAAGCATTCTGGGCTGGGCAGGAGCAGACGTGGGGGCACATTGCTCACTGAATCCACATCTTTGAAGGTACTTCATGGGCAGGAGGCCTAAACTTTCTGAGTTCACTCAAAGGGTATCCAAGTTCAGTAAGGGCAATTCAGGGAGGTAAATTGGGATTCCACAGGTTTTGCTGGGGAACAGGGGTGTTCCCCTCAGGAAGGTGAGCAAGCAGAATGGCGTCTGTGAAGACTGTAGCACCCCATGGAGAACGTATGAGATCTCCTCTGTCCCATCCAGCCCCATCTCCAGCTTTAGCTCCTTACCTCTCACCTCTAGTGATGCTCCCCAAGTCTGGTAACTCTGTTCCTCAGCAAACCCCACCTCCCTCTTGAGGCCTCACAGCTTTCCTGCCTCTCTCCCTCCTCCTGCCCCCAAGATTGCTGCCACTCTCTTGTGCAAGGGCTCACTCAGCCCTGCTCCTTGGCACTGACCATGCAGCCAAGGCAGCTCCTTCCATGGTGGCCTGCATCACCAATGACATCTGGGGGTTGATCCATCATGCTTGATGGGCCTGTACCCACCTGCCTGGGAGCAGCTTAGGGTAGGGTGTGAAAGGCCCTTCTCCAAGTCTGGCTCTAGGCTGGGCAAAGACCTGGGCCTATGGTTGGGTCTGATGAAGAGAGTGGATCCTGACACAGGATCTAATCCTGGCCTAGATCTACTTCAGGGACAGGAGGTGCCCTCTACAGAGAGGCTGCCCCCGCCCCTCCCCACACCCCCGCCTGCTTCCTGGGGGAGATCTGGTACCGCAGTTTCCCGATGTAGCTGTCCCCTCCACGAGACAAGTCTGTTGGGTCCACAGAGATGAGGTAATTAGAAGTTTTACTCTTCTTTCTCTTCCTTCCCGCCAGGAGGAACACCTTGGGGAGTGGAGCAAGGTCATGTTCCAGACCCGGGCTCTGGTCCACACACAATCATGGTGCTGTGCACACACACATTCACTCTCGTGTCAGCTCTCAAACACATACGTGTGCACACACACAACTGTACTGGCAAACACAAAGGTATGCGATGACTGGGCACAGAGGCTGTTTCTTTGGAGTACTGAGAGGTCCGTGTTGGATCTGAGGCTTTTAGTCACATTCTAGGCCTGCAGGACCTCAAGCCTGCCTCAATGAAAATGCATGCCCAAACCAACCTCACCTTCTTCCCATCCTCACGGTCCAGGTGCAGGAAGTAGGTGGGGTACATGCCCCGGTCCATCCCCTTCTTGTCCCTCGTGATGCGGCATTTGATGGTAATGCCCTGCGGGGCTGGCCTCAGCGCAAACTCCTCAAGATCCTGGACCTCAACATCTGCTGGTTGCTCTGGGGCTGTGGGGCTGGGGGCTGAGGCTGCCTCCTATGGGGAGAGAGGAGCCGGGACCCTGAGCAGCCAAACTACTGATCTGGGATCCAAATCTACCTCCTGCTGTGGTGGTGGTGGGAGACAGGGCAGGAGCCTTGGGGTCCGGAGCTATCTTCCCAGCCCTTCCCTCTCCTCAGTCCCTAGGGGTGGACATGGGGCATGGGAAGGGCCTCAGAGGTCATCCTTTCCAACTGCAGCTCTCCTCAGCCCCTTGGCCTGGCTGAAGATATTAGGAGGGAGGGTAGAAGGGCAGAATCGCCCAGCCAGAGACAGTCTTGACAAGCATCTGGGTCCAGCCCTGGCCCCTGGAAGGCCAGCTCCCCATCGTTTCACACACACCCCACCTCCAGTTTGGACGCACAGTCCTCTGCATGCGGCCGTCTCACCCTGCTGTGGATAAAGGCTCCTCACTCACCCTCGTGGACTTCTTGCTAGTAGCAGAGCTGGGGCGAGTGTTGCTATTTAACTGGGAGGAGCTGGAACTGTTCTCATCCTCATCCTCCTCTTCCTCTTCAAAGCTCATGCTGCTGGAGATGCCTGGGCCAAGCAGAGAACAAGAAAGGGTAAACAAGGAGAAGTTTGCCCCTGAGACACAGGTAGTCACATAGAGACTCAGGTTCACAGATCCAGACACACTTAGACACACACATACAATCACATGTATACTCCCACACATGTCCACATATAAATAAGGACACACATTCTCTCAGGTACACACACGAGCCGGGGCTGGTCACATCCTCAGGATACATCCCCACCAACCAACCACCCAGTTTCAGCTCAGTCCTTGCATCAGCCCCTCCTGACAGTCGTATCGCCACTGTCTCCTGTTTCAGGCCTGCACTGAGCTCACCCCCTGCACCAGGGACCTCCACTTCTCATCCTGGGCCTACAAGAGGCCCTGGCTGACACAGGCCATGGACTCTGCCAGGGAACAGGCCTTGGCCCCTTACTCAGCCTGATGTGTGGGGCCCACTGACCCCTCGTGTTTCCCCCAGCCTGCCCTGAGCTGCCATCTCAGCTGTTTTGCCCCCTGCCCTCCCCTAATTGGAATGCCACCACTATCCCCAAGTTGTCTCCAGGAACCCATCCTTGATTAGATTCCCCACAATGTGTGTGGCACTGTCAGACTTTGCCTTCTGCCACCCTGCACCAGGGGGTCCCCAGGGCAGAGCTCATGGTGGGGAAATTGGGCAGTTGGTTTTCAGGGAGGTCCTGCTCCCCCTTGCTCAGCAGACATACGGGGAGCTTTTACTAAGGAGTGGAAGGGAAAGCAAATCTGCCCCCAAACCTGGTCCTCCCAGGAGGCAGGAGATGAAGGTGTGGGGAGACGGGGCTGGGCTGTGTGCTGGTTACCCCACAGTTGACACTTCTTTCCCTTAACTTTGCCTTATCAGGGGTCCTTGCCTCTAAATTTCTCATTTGTCTCCAAGTGTGCCCCCCACCCCACACGGCCAGGGAAGGCTGGAACACACACAGGAAGGCCATGCTCCCGGGGAAAGGAGCATCTGAGAACCTGGGGCTGAGCTTTGCGGGGTGTCATTGGGCCCCCACGGGGCTCACCCTTCCTCTGCATCGTGGCACGGAGATCCTGCCCGCTGGGCTGAGCGCCCCCACCAGCTGCCGTCTCCCCTGCGTCCTGGGCGTGGTCCGACTGGCCCACAGTCAGGATCTGCACCGCACCTTGGGCCTCGGACTTGTCTTCTGCCAGTGCTACTGGCCCGCTGGTGCCTGCAGGCCACGGACACTCCTGAGTTACATCCAGGAGGAGAGAAGGGCCTGGATTCTCAGACATCCATGAAGGGGGTGAGGGAAGAGTGGGGAGACCCTCTGCAAAACTTTATTTGCAAAATTGACTTTTTAAAAAACTAACAACTGCTGTCAGCTGGTTAACGACTGGTAAGCTATTACAGGTGTAGACTTCATTTCTTCTGCTTGTCCCCCATATTAATTGCTCAGGATTGGTTTGAAATAACCCACACCCTCAAGGCAGATGGTAGCCATCTACAGAACCAGCTGCATGGTGGGAAAAACAAGACGGAGAACAAGAATTGATCCGGACCATAGCTGAGGTCGACAATCAGTCACAGACGTGGCCAGCTACGAGTTATCCACGCTGGTGTTTTCTCTTCACAAACACACATACACACACGGTAACTCACACACACCATGAAGAACATACGGGGTCCCTTGTGAAAGAGTGTGGTTGGCACACACTCGCCTTCCCGCGTGAAGATCTCCCATCCCAAGTCCACCTCTCTGCCCGAGTTGCCACAGAGCTTCAGTGACAGAAGCAAGGCCTGGTCCACACAAGTGGCAGCCACCTTCTTGCCTGCCTGCCGAGCGAGCTATGCGCCCAGAGGGCTGCCGCCAGCCCCAGAAGCCATGGATCCCAACACATCACTGCCCAACCATGACACAGTGGCTTGGGAATCACTGCCTATGAACAAGGCTTGGTTGAGGAAACAGGGTGTCTAATCAGGAGACAGGACTCAGGGCAGGGGCCACCATCACTGTCACTGATCTCTAGGGATCTCTCCTAGAGAGAGAGGAGCAGAGGTACAGACTGGTCTGTGGCCCAGAGGGTGGAATCAGGACCGTTGTGAGGAGGAGCTGGCGGCGAGTGCTGTGCAAGGATGGGGCAGGCTGCTGGGGGGCAGCAAGCCCCCACTGAAGGGAATGTCCTCGCCCAGGCTGGGGGAGACGTGGGAGGGGTCAGGATAGAGGGTGCTCAGGCAAGGTAGGGTGGGAGGGGAGGATGGTCCCAGGCCACAGCTGAGCTGGACTTCACTTCCTGGCAGTGTGGTGGCCCTCCCCACACCCACAGGCAAGCCCCGCACACGATGAGTTAGACAAGAGCTGTGAGCAGGCTGAGCGGGGACCCCGAATGCCAGTCTGTCTTCACCGAGGTTGCTCGCCCCGTCCCGCACCTTGAAGTCAGCAGAGGCCATGCCTGCTGGGGAGGGCTGTGGAGAAGGCAAGAAGGCAGGCTAACCTTTGTGCTTTCCCTTCTTCTCCTTCCTAGAGGCCCCCCCCTGGCCCCCTGCTGTGGCTGCTGCCTTTGTTCTCTTGGCTGAGGCTGGTGCTGTTGGGTGGGTGGCTCCCAGCTGCACATTGGTGAGTGAGTCGGCCTCTTGAACTGCTCAGGAGATGACCCAAGACACAGAGAAAGAAAGAGAGAAATGGGCACTGGGTGAGACCAGAGCTCCCATCTGAACAGTTCCCAACACAGCATTTCCCACCCCTTCCACCCACACTTATTCCCTAAGCCCCACTGGGGCCCCTGTACCCACTCCTGGGCCCAGAAACAGGCCCACACATCTACCAGGTAAAGGTTCCGGGAAGCAGGTGGCACCCCTGCCTAGCACAATCCAGTCGACAGCCAGGCCAAAACCAATCGGCCAAGAAGCAGAGAACTCAGAGCTCTGGGCTAGCAAACTGGTCTGAGCCTGCACAGAGAGGGTGTCCATGAGGATGTGGGTCATTGAAGATGGGTGAGGGAGGCTGCTTCTTACTGAAGAGACCGCAACCAGGGCGAGCACTCCAGAGAGCCTACGCGGAGACCCTCAGGGGATGGGTCATGGGAGCCCTGGGTGTAGGGGCACCCCAAGGAAGAACAATTCTGGGATACACAGAGCTACACACACCAACAGCGAGGTTGCAGAAGGGTCACAGCTGGTGGCCTCCAAATTCTCCAGCAGAATTGCTCAGTATCCTTGAATGGTTTCTGAATGTTCTCAAGGTGAAGGCCAATGTTCCCTCCCTTCCCCTTGGCCTAACTGCGCACTCCACCTCTGGAGCACCAAGCATCCCAGCCACGCCAGGTTCCTTCAGTGCCGTGCATGCGCCGGCTCCCTGTGCCACAGGGCCCTTGCTCTAGCTGTTCCTGCCGCCTGCACTGCCCTCCCTATGCGACTAACTCCTACTCATCCTGCGGAGCTCAGCTCAGGTGTCACTTCCTGAGGGCAGCTGTCCTTGACTCCCTCGTTGGAGCACTCACGGAGCCTGGCTTCTTGCCACAAAGCACACCTGTGACCATCTGCTGAACACTCTCCCCACCTAGACCATAAGGTCCATGAAAGCAAAGCCCACACCCAGTTGTGCTCACCTGCGACCATTATACAGCGTTAGTCCCTGATCCAGAGCCTAGCGCCTAATAGGCCCTCAGTAAATATTTAAGAAATGAATGAATGTGTAACATGAATGAGCACAGCCAATAGGTCAAAAGCTTTACCGGGATAAACTGTCAGTTCTAATGTATGTCAGACTCCCTCAATTTCCTCTTGGAGTGATCGCCCTGCATTTAACACCAAGGGCCAGCAGAGGGCAGAGCAGGAGGCAGCTAACGCCGTGGGTGGGGCTGGGTGGTCTCAGGCACACCCGTTCCAGGCCTGCCAGCCAGGTGCTCAGCCGCTTCCCCAGGGCTCTGTCCACCGCTGGGAGCTGGACAAAGACTGGGCCCAGGAAGCTGTGTGCACCTGCAGAGGCCAAATGTCCTCTGTGGGGAAGGCCCAGGCTGGTCTGGAATTTCAGCAGGGAACAGCAATCAGCCGATTTTGGACGCTGGAATACATCATGGCACCTTCAATTTTCAAAGCCCTAAGACAGAGAATTTACCCCATTTTATAGTGGAGGAAATGACCCAGAGAGGGTAAGTGACTTGCCCAGTCACAGGTGAGCAGGTAAAACTGGTTATGCACAGCCAGAAACTGTCTTCTGACTTCAGTCCTGCACTCTCCCCAGAGGTGCCACTTCTCTTGCCACAGTCTTTCTATTATTTTTTATTATTTTATTTTATTTTATTTTAAGAAAAGAAAAGAAAGAAAGGAAAGAAATAAAGCAAGGAAGGGAAGGGGGAGGAAAGGAAAGGAAGAAAAGACGCCACAGTCTTTCTGATGGCCTGGCAGCGCCTGGCACATAGCTGCTGCTCAAGAAATACCTGCCAAAATGACTGCCCATTGGTGACCTCAAGATGGTGGCCTCTGGCACAAACCAGCAGGCCCCAAAGTGCTGGACGCAGCTCCCACCCCATATGCAGTCTCGATCCACCAGGCGTCAGGCTCGGCAGAGACGGGGCGGTGATGCCACATAGCAGCAGGCCAGGCTCCATGGAACCCAGAACAGGCTGCCTTCCCTGCAGGGCACACTGTCACCCGGGACAGTACTCAGAGAGGAAGTGGGGGAGGTGGCTGCCAGAAAAGGGGGGACCAGGGCCTATTCTGTGAGGAGCTGCTGGGGCTGCCTCTCCTAGACAGCTGGGCTGAGGTCCCTGTCCCCCTGTACTGACGGTCCTCTTGGGTGGAGTACAGACATACTAGGTGTGGCCCAGGGTGAGGAACTGAGACACACGCAGGGGAATGACCATGAAGGAGCTTATCAAGGAGGCACGTAATATGGTAGAAAGGCCACTTAGAGTCTGGCAGGCCTGAGTGCCAGTCCAGTCCTGCTGCTCACCCCTTGGAGCCTGTGTCCTTAAGGAGCAAGGGAGGGCGACGAGTTAATGTGAGGACAAGTTACATGAGGATGAAAGGCGCTAATGCAGGTAAAGCACCTGGCACTGTGCTCGCCACTGGCAAGTGCCCGATGACAGCCCGTATTAAAGGAACTAAGTGGGTCTCCTCAGAGGGTAGGAGGCACCCAGGGGACTGAGCTTGCAGAGTGTGCCAAGCCACAAACCGGGTGCTAGATGAACGAGACTCAGTCACTGCCTTCCAAGGCACAGGCAAGGGGGCCGGGGAGCTAAGGGCCGGTTAGTGGAACCGAGAACCCGAAACACCACGGGAAAGGGGTGGGCCAGCAGTTAAAGAACAAGGTCAGCCCCCAAGGCGAGGCGACTCCTAGCAGCTCAACGTGGCTGGAGGCTCCAGGTCACAGAGGGGCCACGGAAGAGGGGAGTGTCATGGCTGCGTAGGCTCTTCCGAACTGAACTGCGAGGGCCGGATGCCTGCAACCTCCCTGGCATTACTCCTTGATGAAGTGGCCACCTGGATTACTAGCACCAGCAGGGGGCAGAGGAGACTGAATCTGAATCCCTCTTTCAAGCTCAGAGACCAACCCTCAGTCTGGCCTGGGTACCCTCACCCTAACCTAAGCAGGAGGGAGCAACCTGAGAGCAGGAATGCAACGAATGAGGTGGCAAGATGAGCTGCAGAGAACCCCTCCAGGTGGCTCTGCTGAGCATTGGAGTGTGTGAGGATGGGAGCCGGAGGCTGCAGGTCACTACAGCTCTAAGGAGTCAGGAGCCAGGGACAGGGACGTGCAGGTCAGATTGAGGGTGCAGGGAATTCAGGGAGGGAGAAAATGGGTGTTTGTCCTCAGAGACGCCAGGTGGCATGAGGCAGGATGGTAAGACAGATTCCTCTCAGGAGGTGGTTTGCCGGCGGGGAACAGGCTGTCTACTCTTAGCAGCTGCCTCCTGCCCTCGGTGAAATGCTCCAGATAGAAACCTGGACTTTTGAACTCCTGGATCCAGACAAGTTTAGCCTCTGACCCCAGCACCTGACTCAGGTGACAGCTTGAGCACACGCAGGAGCCCAAGGCCACAGGTCCCAGCTTCCCTCCATCTGCCCCACTCAGCTGTGCAGCTGGGTTCAAGCCACACTCAGCCTAGGGACAGGCACACCCTGACAGGGCCAGCCTCTCCCCTGCCCCGGTAGGCAGCAAGTCCCTGAGGGGCTCCCCAAAGCAGTGCCAGGATATAGAGCTACTATGCCGGGCTCTCCCCAGGCTGGCTGTCCCTGGGGTGGCAGGCAGGGTGTACCTTGGTAGCTGGTGCTGCCGCTGCTGCTGAGGTAGGACTCCACCAAGGGGGCCTGCTCCTCCGACTGCCGGGCCCGCCGGCTCCGGGGCCGCCCATCCGCGTTGGCCTGCACCATCAGGGGCTCCTGGCGTTTCTTCTTCTGCTTCTGCTCCAGCAGGGCCCGCTGGGGAGGCACAGGGCAGGCACAGAGAGTGGCTGACGCACCGCCTCCATCAGGAGGAACCGGCTTCCAGACCGGACCAGAGACAGTGTTGGTTTGGCTGGGTTCTAGAGGTTGCACCGGGGTCCACAGCCCACTCGGGGCCAAGGCTCTGTGTCCTTGGCACCCTGAAACATGGCAGGATCACAGCACAGACATTCAGCCCTTCACCTGTGGTGGTCACCCTGGCTGCCCGCTGGGCAGGAACCCCGTGTACTGGGGCAGTTAATGCTGAGCTGGTGAAGGAGGGTGTACCTCTCCTCTTCCAGGTGCAGCCCCTTTCCCCATCAGACAGGATCACCCAGGGAAGAGGGCCAGCCCAGCCCCAACCTCACTCACCTGCCGATCGAGCTTCTGCTGCCTCAGGTTGCTGCCCTCGTCATCTAAGACACTGCAGAGGGAGAGAGGGTTATTTGGGGCCTGCTGGCGAGGTGCCGGGATGTAGCCTAGAGCTGTGGTCCCCAAACCCCGGGCTGCAAAGCTATGCCACCCTCACCCCTGGGGAAAAATTGTCTTCCACGAAATCAGTCCCTAGTGCCAAAAAGTCTGAGGACCACTGGCCTAGAGCCCGCCCCAAGCACATCTGGGTCCCTTGAACTCCTCCCATCATGGCTCCTGGGATTCGCTGAACCCAAATGGTAAAGGGAGGAAGGGTGAGGGCTGCCACCGCTTGAGCTTGAGCCTCCACTTTGGGAGTTTAACTCTTACAAGGATCCCCACTGCCCCAGGGACGTCCCAGCTGGCCTGGCTGCAGTAAGTACAGGATAAAACTTTCCCATCAGATCCCTGAGCAGGGCCAGGCTTGACTGAAATCCAGGAAACCCATCCAGAGGCATCAGTTGCAAGCTAGGCCCAACGCCGGCCAGGCTTCAATCCAGGGGCCTGCTCCTACGGCGATCTCCGCTTTCCACTCCTTTCCATCATTTCTGGAGGAGGCTGAGTCCTCCAGGGCAGACCCTGTCTCCACCCATTCAGAGCAAATGCCTGGCTTTCCAGGTGGGCAGAGTGGAGGTGTTAACACTTCCCACTCCCCTTCCCCACTTAAAGAGGACAGAGAGTCCTCCTCATTTGGGAGAGTGACGCTAAGAGACCAACCAGTCCCTCAGCACAGGGCTTGGGCTGGGTGGGGACGTCTGCCTGGTGGACACAACCCAGCAGTGTGCAGCCCTGCAACCAGCCACCAGGCCTTCCCTGGCCACACACATGGCACAGGCGGCACAGGGGACATCGAATCCTTCAACCCCACACGTCTTGGAACAGGCAGCCTCATCTAACCCAGACTGGCCCTGCCTCCCAGGAAGGCAGAGCACAAGTAAGGAGCTAATATTGATAACTCAAACCTCTTAGCTTTCTTGCTAGCACAAGACACACACACGAGTGCTAGGCCCAAATTCTATAAAAGCTAAGGTCAGGACAGCTGCATGGGGTGAAGGTGGAGCCTGAGGATCTGAGCTCTGGGAAGCCCCAGGCAGCCCTGGCCCAGTTGGGCTGGAGCTGCCCCTGAGCCAGACCTGCATGGGGACGCCTGCACAGGCACGCCTGAGTGCATTCGATCTGCTGAGGCTATACGGATGTGTGCACGTGTATCTCGTGTGTGCACACACTCATGCAGACTCCTATTTGAGAAGTGGATGTGCTTGTGTGAAGGTGAAAACAGTCTGCGTGCAAGGGAGGAAGATGAGGTCCAATCAGCCGAGGACAAGGCGATGCCATCTCCACCCACTACTGACAGCCAGCCCTTTCTAGCTGGAACAATCGTTGAGCTACATGTCCCTTAATCTACTTGTATCTCTGAGGGAGCCAGCCAGAGGGCGGAACGAAGTCCCCATATTGCAGACCACCCACCCCTGCCTTCACATACCCACCCCCTCGGTCACAACCTGTGAGGATTATGCATCTATTTAACAGGCAGCTGTCCTACCCACTTGACATCTGGGAAAGCCTTTCCTGGTACCCATGGCCTAATCTTCACATCAGAGGGGCTCCAACTGTGATTTGGGGCTGTGTATAAAACAGCCTCACTCACCAAACCCTCAGCTGCTGTGCGCAGGAGAAAACGCTGCTCAATAGACGTACTCCTAAGCCTCAGCCTTCCTGAACCAGCCCACGTGACTAGGAGGGCACAGCTGCTTTTTGGGCCTCCCTGAGGGCACTGCCAAGACCAGAGGATGGAACCTCCTCCCTAAAAACTCGAGCTGGCTGAGATGGTAAACTTCCCCTCGTGGAAGGCGCACACCACAGGCCTGAAGGCTGCAGCGAGACTTCTGAACAAAGGGTTCAGGCACCAGGGCAAGCAAGATGCCCGAGGGCCCTGCCAGGCCCGAGAGGCTGCACCTCTCCACTGTCTCAGCAGCTAAGTCACCAGCCTGACTGAAAAGCGCAAAGCATCTGCTCTAACTTCACAGCATCAGACCCAAACCCCATCGTCCACCACGAGCAGTGATACTCTCCACTTCAGGACATGATGAAAAATGCAGTCTGTGCACAAGGGCACCCAGCTGACGGGAACAATGGGGTCTGAGATGCAGCTGCGCTCTGCTTGCCATGCAAACCTCACAGCCGCGTGCGAGTGGCCTGCCCACAGGACTCTGTGCGGCCTCCACTGTGAAAGTGCTGGCTTCCCTTTGTGCCAGCCAGAGAGGCTGCTTCACAACTTACTGGATGTCACAGAGGGCAGTGCCAGGGACAGGGCAGTCATCTGGGCCATCCCCAGCATTGGGTTTGACTGAGCAGGACAAAGAAAATGCCTCCCATGGTGCTGATGCCCCTATCTAGAGTCATCTAGAAAAGGAGACTGAGAGGTAAGGCTCACATCTGCAAAGCCACCTCCAGAAATGTGGGGTCACAGTGGCTGCTCAACTGAAGAATGATGTTTTTCCAGCCATGGCAGCCTTGCAGCCCGGCCCCCCCTAATGCCCTTACCCATCAAGGGGGTCATTTTCCTACCACAGGCCACTGTCCCACTGCTGTGGACCTTCTAGTTATGCCAGGGGCAAGGAGGCTGCTTTCCACGAAAAAAAAAAAAATCACTTCCTCTTCCTCTGTCCCCACCTCCACTTCCTGATGGGGAAGCATGATAAGGTGCCACAGGCTTTAGTGACACTGATTACCGGGTAAGATTACAGGCAGGAAGGACTTAACCACTAGCCTTCAGAGAACGAGGGATGAACACAAGCACCAGGCTTCTGGAAAGAGATTCCAGAAATCTCAGACATCCCACAAGTACCTAGAGAGCCACTACCCTGGATCACCACCGGGCATGCTCCAGTGCACAACAGGAAAGGAGTGCGCAGGGGGGCAGCTGGGGGAAAGCAACACGTGCCTGGCTGAGCCAGACCCCTCCCTCCAGGAGGGCCTATGATAAATCCTCCAAAATAAGGAGGCTCCGAGTGGCCTGACAGGTGGAGTAGAGCAGGCTCCTGGTAATGGGCAGTCTTTCTAGCAGAGCTGAGAGGGTATGAGGTGGACCACATTGAAGTGATAAGCTTGTACTTAGTAGGTGTTCCTGGCCAATGACAATGTATCTATGCATGCAACAACTCTCCCTGGTGAATAACAAGGAATTCCAAGCAAACGGCAGCTGCTGTGCAGAACAATGACAACAAGGATGGCTGTCTCCAGGGAGAGAGGAACCAACTGCTCTCCTCACTTCCTCAGCAGGCCCAGCCTCTCTCCACCCCCACCCAGATGGCCCTGCCTACCGGTCCACTCTCATACCATTCCTAGGGCATCTTCCTTCCTCACCGACACTTCCGCAGGCTGCCTCTTTCTGATGGGCTTCTTCTAGGCTGCACTGAGCACTAACCACGCAAGGAGACAGTAATGGCTTTTTAATGACTCCTGCTCCAATTATGGAATAACTGCCAAGCCCAGGCTGCCAGCTGCAGCCCCGCCAGGAGACTCGGACAGGAGACAGAGCACTGATGGATGGGTCTTCCAGCTGACCCTGGCGGCTCTTTCATCATGGTCACCTCCTGCCAGGGGCCAGACAGGGAGGCCCAGGAACGTACCAGCCACTGGCTCACGAGGGTCAGAGAAACCCAGTCTGCTGTGTGCACCAATGCATCCGCCCTGCCCAGGGTCAACAAGGTGGCAGCTTCACTTCCTGGGAAGCAAGCCCCTCTATAGCCACTCACTTCCCCCGGGTTACTTCACAGAGATCCGGGGAGTGACCCACAAGTGACAATAAGGGGACGGGGGCACAGGAACACTCCTCCTGTGGGCTGGAAAAGCCAGACACAGCCAATGTATTAGGAAGCTTGTTTCCCTCTCTCTTCTTAGACTCCACCTTATATGCTCCAGCTAATTCACCAGCGCTAACTAGAGGCCCAGGGGCCAGGACAACCTAGGGACAGACCCAACCATCTGGACACACTCTCCATACCCACTTCACCCTCCCTTCTTCCTGCCCTCGTTCTTTGCCCTCAGTCATAATGGCAGCTGCCCCAGCTGAACCCTGGAAATCAGAGAAGCGGGCTGTCAGGAGAAGAAAGGCCACCCAGGGTGTGCCCGACGCCAGACCCCCGGCAAGTCCAAATCAGTGGCTCCCGCCTAGCAGTTCACTGGAACATGGCGGGAAGGTGGGCAGCTCCGGAGGGAAGAGGATCACACTGTTCACAGGAGCTCCAGCTCCCAGGATGAGCCATCGCCAGTCCTGCCAGCGGTGCCCAAACTTACAGGCCACATTAAAATTACTAAGGGCACTAAGCCCTGAAGTGGTTAATTCAGGACTGCTGTGGAACATCCCAGAATCGGCCCCACCTTGCTCTCTCGTCTTTAAAGCAAGTGCCACAGGTGACTCTAAATGCTCAGCCATGCACGTGGGACCACGAGCCACAGCTGATGATCTCTAAGGATCATTGGGGAGCTCTTCCAAGGCAACTTTATCCTGTGGGGCTAGAAAAGCCAAGTAGCCACAGGTGAAGTGGCAGCCCACGTGTCCAGAGCACCTCTGGGCTGAAGCCAGCAGCAGAACGGAACGGGTTGGGAGCCTTGCTGCATCAGCAGGCACACTGCTCTTCAGAAAGCAAAGCGAGGAAGTGGTGGGAGCATCCTAACAAGAGCCAAGAGGAGAGGGAACCCAGAGACGTGCTTGCTCAACCCAAGGAAAAACTTTCTAACAGTACAGCCATCTGACGGAGAGCTGTCTGCTAGGGACGCTACAGGAGTCATTCACACGGAGTACCAGGGAGCCTGCAAGGACCCCTCCAGCTGGAAATTCTCCCTCTGTCACCTAGAACTGTGCTTTTCAAGCAGTGCTCCAGGAGGCCGCAGGGTGCCAGGAGAGCACTATATCCCTCAGGTGTGCTGAGAATCCAGGCCTGGGGCCAGGAAAGCCAAGGAAACTCAAGAGGCTACCTGGAGATGCCGCTTGGATTCAAAGAGATGGAC